TTGAGTTTTGAATCTCTAGGTAAATCCTACACTAACAAAATATTGGAGAAATGTTAAATATGTAAATCAATATCAGTTATCCCTATAACAAATTTTAAAATTCTAAGACCTAAAAAATTAAAATGGACAATATTAATAGTGAGTTAAATTATTACAAGTGAATAGTATTCATAAAAGGCTGGACTATCTTACGAAATACTCTTGTTATAAAGAAAAGGAAAATAAAGTGATAAATCCACTATCGCATGATACCTTATTTTTCTTCCCTTCTTTTGAACCTAGGTTTAAAGTTGCTTTTCATAGGCCACACGTCATGATATCTTTTCTGTATTGCAATGGGACCAATCATTTGATAAGTGGTGGAAAGCAATGTAAAGGCTAGTCATGATATCATATTACACAGTTTTCTTTTATTAGTTATGCTTTAAAATAGCACTATGTTCGTTTGTATTATATTTTTTTTAATAATTATTAAATATAATAATATTAATTTATAATTAAATTAGTTTAAAACTTCAATTTCATCCCTAAACTATTGTACGGACTTTGATTTAGTCCCTGAACTAAAAAATTCCCTGATTTGGTCCTTGAACTATTGTACAGACCTCCGATTTAGTCCCTACTGTTTACTAATTTAATCTTAAGTTGATCATTCTATACAAAAAACAGTTGACGTGTTTATTATTTAATGGCAAAAAATAGAAATAGTAACTTAACCGTCATGTGTCACGTTAATAACGAGACACATCAACCATTTTTTTGTGCGGAATGACCAACTTGGGGTAAATTGGTAAACAGTAGAGACTAAATTGGGGATCTGTACAATAGTTAAAGGACTAAATTGAGGATTTTTTTAGTTCAAGGACCAAATCGGAGATTTTACCTTAAAATTAAGTATTAATTAATGAACATAAAATTCATTTCAAAGAAGTATTATTTAATTATGGTTAAATGCTAATTTTGGTCCCTCAACCTTATAGTGTTGCACAATTTTTATCCCTCAACTATTTTTTGCACTTTTTTGATCCCTCAACTCCTAAAACTGCACAATTTTTGTCTTTTCATTAGTTAAGTCACACTTGACTGTTAAACTATTCTAAAATAGCACATTTTTTATGACGTGTAATAACACATCATATAATTAGCTTATGTGGACATAAAAATGCTAAGTTATATTCCACAACATTGAACGATTTACAAATTAAAAGACAAATATACAATTCTACCCCCACTTCCATCCTTTTTGTGATTCTCCCTCCCTCATTATTCATCTTCCCTTCGGCTCCACCATTGTCGATCTCCCCCTCCCTATCCTTTCTCTAGCCACTCACTTCCTCCCTTTTCCTTTCTTAGTCATCTAAGCCCTCCTTCTCATTTTTTCTTTGAAAAGGAGGGCATTTTATTTCTCATCTCACATTGCTAACAATGACAACAATAAATTTGATAGTCTAGTGCTACAACACGTCTAAGGAAAAAAAATGTTGGGGAAGACAAAGATGTGTAAGTTCTAGCCTTTTGAACATTTTTGGTCTCACCATCTATAACTTAAACTATAACTACCAAATGTGAAGCAAAACGACCATAAGACTAATTTGGTTCAAGAGATAAAACTCACTTTTGGATTTTAATTCTTTACTTTCCATCCATCTCAATCTCGTCTAAATCGTCTTGAGCATTTTATCAAAAGATAAGGCAATTTGTTCCAAGAAAAAATAGATATTAGATTTGAAAAAAAAAAAAAAAAAAACTCATTCTAGGTTCAACGAGAACCTTTGATGGGTTTGTAAGAACCCTCCTTGGGTTCCTCATGAACCTAGAATTGGGTTAGCAATGAACCTAGATCGTC